AAAAAAAAAAAAAAAAAAATTACTGTCTACCGAATGATTATATCTATCTACCAACACCTTTTATGTAAAATTTATGTCATAAGAAAATACCCATGTTTATATTATTTTATGTATGGTATATTTTAATTAAATATATATATATAAAGAGAACGTAGATATTATGGTAACATCAGCCTAATGTTCATAACGAAATATTATGGTGATAATTTATATGATTTAATTATGCATTGTGGCTTGGGATATGTAATTTCGTGCCACTGGCTGAATTTAAACTAATTTGAAATATAAGAAGCTAAAATCAGGTACAACATATAAGAAGAGGCTGTCAATTGTCACGCGTGGTCCTAAAGCAATGTGCAATTGCTTGAAAATCGAATAGTACCAACAATAATGCTCCCCTGCCCACGGTAGACACATGTTAGTAAAAAATAATTGAATAATAATGATATATCGGATAGTTTAATTAAATTAGAAACCCCTAATTAAATTAAAATTAGAAACCCCTAAATTCAACACAAACACACACGCGCGCACACAAACACTCACGTGCTGATTTATTGATTTGTTGGACGTCGCCTTCTTTGGAACCTCAAAACAGTATATTGCCTTAAATACACTACCAAATAAATCCTAAAAGTTATTGTCCATGATTTATAAAAAAAATAAAATAAAAATGTTATACTATATGATAAAAGTGAACTAATTGAATTATATGCAGTCCAGGGTACAAAGCATTTACAAAAACACCAGTGCTCGTGTCTGCATGCTTTGGACCCCATCCATGTGGCTCACTATTCACAAACTGTTTTCATAAGATAGGTTAATGACTTTTCGAGTTGCTCGTAAATTCGGATCAGCTTGATTCGTTAAAGCTCGAGTTTAACTAGTTAAACCAGTCAGACTCAAGTTCGTTTAGTTAACAAGTTGTTAAGGCTCGAAAAATATATAATATGTTATGTAATTTTATAGATCGAGTATTATGAGTTAGACATGTACTCGATCCAGCTCATTTACTTCCGAATGAACACAAAAAAAAAAAA